GATTCAGCTCGTGCATCAACCAGGCTGCCTTAGGGGTGCACATAACTTGTTTTTGAACCAAACATAACACGCAGTGCAATGACTCGTATGCGGTAGCATAGAGGGAGGGGAGATGTTATTACATTACCACATTAAAACCTTCCAATCAAATATATATATATATATATATGTGTAATGTTATTATGCTTAAAGAGGAGGTATAGCGTGCATACCACTATTATCTCCGAGTTGATAAGTGGGTCAAAAAGACAAAGACAGAAATCTAAATGAGGTTTTCTGCAGGTATATTACTAAATTTATAACTGAAATATGTCAGGGGGCTCAGAGTGTCGAATAAAATCACACTCTATCATCTATCTTTTCACTAACAATCAAACAATAAACTTATTAATAACTAATTGTATTACTAAATTATTTAAGGGTAAGCATGAATGGATGACTTCCGCATATTCTTGTGAATTCCTTGGATAATTCCTTGTAGATAATTCCTTACAGATAATGCCGAATATCGTACTGACTTTTAGTTTACGTAAACAAAATTATTTTGATCAAAATCAGATAGTTACAAAAAAAAAAAAACGTTTATAACATGAAATGATCAACGTTCTACTGAAAAACAATAATATTTAAGGTTACGAAATTGTGGTAAATCAAATAATATAAACATATCTAAGAAACTGGAAAAAAAAAAGTATTCTCGGACAGTGGTTTGTGGTCATTTTATTATCATCAAAAGTCACCCGGTGGGACAGCGGTAAGTCTTCTGATTTTCAATCAGGAGTTCGATTCCCCTCGGTGGACACAGCAGATAGCTACAAGAAAACACACACAAACTTTATTATTAAAAAGCTCTTATATTTTATACTAGAAGCTGTTTCGTGCATTTCTTTCTCGCTATTTAAATATGCAATACACCACTAGTTATTTATTTGTTGTAGAGCAAAGCCATATTGGTGCACCTGCTGTGTCCGCTACGAGGAATCAAACCCCGAACTTTGGCGATGTAAGTCATAGACTTACTGCTGACCCTTCCACCAGGGGATTCCATTGGTTAGATTAGAGCGGCAACGAAAACAATGGCGGCATAACATACCAGTTTTAAAAAAAAAGGTTAAGCTGCTGTAAAACATCCCCTTCACCTAATAGGTTAAGCTGCTGTAAAACAGCCTACCCCTTCACCTAAAAAGTTAAGCTGCTGTAAAACACCCCTTCACCTAAAATATTAAGCTGCTGTAAAACATCCCCCTTCACCTAATAGGTTAAGCTGCTGTAAAACAGCCTCCCCTTTACTTAAAAGGTTAAGCTGCTGTAAAACACCCCCTTCACCTAAAATATTAAGCTGCTATTGAAGGGGAGGTGTTTTACAGCAGCTTAACCTTTTAAGTGAAGGGGAGGTGTTTTACAGCAGCTTAATATTTTAGGTGAAGGGAGGGTGTTTTCCTATTAGGTGAAGGGGATGTTTTACAGTAGCTTAACCTTTTAAGTGAAGGGGGGAGGTGTTTTACAGCAGCTTAATATTTTAGGTGAAGGGAGGGTGTTTTACAGCAGCTTAACCTTTTAAGGTGAAGGGAGGGTGTTTTACAGCAGCTTAATATTTGGATTCGCATGAACGTACGCTTGACTTTGGTGTCTCTGCAACTATAGCTTTTATTTCACATCAGGTCAAACACCAATCTACACCAACCTTCTCCCAAAAAATATACATTTTACAGATCACTTTAAACACTACACTAAAACTATATTACAACGCTTACCATAATAAGTGTAACAAAATTACACACATAAGCCTCACCGCTTTTATGTTTTCTGAATTTTCTGCAAATAATATAAGTTACTTTCAAATAAAGCTGTTATCAGATATATTATAAGTGTTCCTGTAAATTTAAACTTAGAATTTCACTTCTTTTTTTAACGTTAACACGATAAAATATCATCATTATTTATATTAGGACTGTTAGATTATCATTTACGTATAGACTAATCATAGCCTCGTGTTTAAGGCACTTAAGGCCTGTGATTTGAATTTACGTTGGTTCTTTAGTTTAGGTGAAAATGCAGTTTGGCCCCCTACGTTTATTGCCTTTTTAATAAAATATTTATTTTTACCTTAATTACAAAATAATGTTACGTCTCCGTTTGTTAATCAACTTTCCTTAACTTCA